GACATTTAGTAAATATAATAATTGTATTAATTATATGTATTCTACATATAATATATGGTGGTAAACAAAAAAATTATTTCGATCAAAGGAATTAATTAACAGTATGATTAATCTTTCATGTTAATGCTTTTATGATTTTTTCATACTACACATAATATTCTAAGTAATATTACTAATAGTAATAATAACAACAATATCTTGAAATTATAATAATTATTTTTTTTTTAAAAACTTTATAAAAATATATTAAGAATGTACACTACTCTTAGAACATAAAATATTCCAAAATAAAAGCCAAATAGGAAGCATTGTGGAAACTATTACATTATACAACCAATTCCCATAAATCACTGAATCTATAATACTGAATACAAATGCTTGCTTTGCTGCTCGATATCCACGAAATAAAATTAAAAGGAAGGGATCTGTAGAAAAATGTACATATGTGTAACAAATTACAATTATACTTGAGATCATAAATGGATGCAGTAGAATCCACAAGGAGGATATTATTTTGCGAAATCTGCAACATAATTAGTTTTGATTGTAATATCCTTACTGATAATGTTCCAAACATATTTTGAAAATAAAAAAGAATAAGATTTTAATTTTAATTATTTTAATTTCGGTATTTCTTAAGGTATATTTTGGAATGAAACTATAAAATGTTTCCTACAAATAATAATAGTAATAAGATGTATGAAATTTTGAAGCTTGATTTTAATAAGTTGTATGGAATTCTTTTCCATTCAAGTAGTTATTCTGCCCATTTCTTCTAGTTGTTTAATTAGGAATTTATATATGCAACTTCATAAATAAAAAGTTCAATTAAAATATAAATAAATTAGTAAACAAAAGTGTCACTAATATTAACGAATTAACATTTTGTTACTCATAAATAAATATACTTTTACATTTCTTGATAAGTATGATGTCAAAAGAATTTATTTTTCAAAATACACTTACTTAGTAGAACGTTGTTGTGGTGTAATTGCCAGAATAGCAGGTACATAAACCACAGCAATAAGAAGTGCCAGTGAAAAATTATGCATTGCTATACACATTAATATAGTACCTAGTTCTATTAACACAATTACACAAACTAGAGCTGCATTTTTATATTTCATTTGCCTAAAAGTAATACAAATTTACTCAAAGCTTCTCATGACATAAAGTATTAATTAATATTTAAATTACCTTCTAGAATAAAGTGGCCACATTAACGTTAAAACAGTTATTGCCATAAAACCAAAATAGATAGAGTCTTCTGTACGAAAATTTGTCTTTCTACCAAAATAAGTAAGTGCAAATGGAGATGTTGCAATTACAATTCCACAAATATGAGCCCATAATATTTCTGAAGTAATAACTCCAATATCAAATCCATCATTCTGTAAAACATGTGCTACAATTAAGTTTCTTAACTTTTTACAAATTCAAAAACTAGATAATGAAATACATTACAAATGTATAATAACAGATACATTTACAAAAAGAATATCGATTTATAAATAAAATTTTAAACTTATAATAAATGAATAGTAGAATAATAAGAATAATAGAATTCGTCCCCATAGCAACGCTTACAGATGTTTATCACTAACAACAAAAAATTTATTAATCTATTCATAATCTATAAGCCACTAGCAGCAAAAAATCCAATTAGTAGACTTCTGGGCAATAAGATGTTAATAAACAATATGTGTATCATTTATATATAAAAAATGTAACAAAAAAAACAAACCTTTGGTCGTTTAACAGTAGTGCTTTTCTTATATTCTTCAGCAGTGCTTGTCTTATTTTCTACAGCAGTGGATACTTGAAGTCTTTGCCACATAGAAAATGCTTTTACAAATATCCCAGCAATAATTAAGACAAGAGATCTTATATAAAGTCCTAAAATGTTTTTTGAATAACTATTATTTATGTTAAATTATTATATGCACGTGTTTGTTTCATTATATAATGTTTTACTCACCAATGGAAATGTAAGTATCAGTTGATGGAAGCAGATAAAAGAAAAAAGACTGATGAAAACGTTCTAATAAATTATTTAATGACCGTACTATGCTTTCTACAATACGACCAACTTGATAAATATTTCCACCAGAACTTTGCTGTCCAGCTTTTTCGAAACCTTCCAAAGTAATTGCCTCAATACCAAATCTATAAAAATATTTAATTAATGAGAAAATACTAAATCATGAAAAAGTCATAAGAATTAAAATTAAATAACCTCTGTCAAAATAAAATAATATGTATGATAAAGATAATTTTGTTTTAACAAATTAATGTTTTCATATAATTTAATTTTAACCCTCAGTTGGTATCGTTGGGCCTCTGATGACCTTACGATACCAGTTACATGACTAAAATGTCACCATATCAACTGAGGATTAAATATGAATAATCTCAAATTTTTGTTTACTTATTTATTTTATAGTTTTTAAATACCTATGGAAAAGTCCATGATTTCCAGTTGGAATTCCACTAGCCTGAGTAGTAATCATCATAAGAAGTGTTTTAAAGTGATACCACCAATTCTTAAATTTATTTTTATATTTAACATCAAAACGTCTTTGAAATGATTGCCTGATTCCTTCTTTGGCTATCATATTTTGTGCTAAATTAAAAAGATCCAAATTGGGTAATCGTCCATTTAATCCTTCTACCTAGGGCATAACAAAAATATATAAAACTTTAAATACTTTTCAGTACCATAAATATCATTTATTATGCTTATATACTGGATAACTTATATTCATAACTGTGAGACTTGTAACTAATTACCTTACATATTTGTAAAGAGATAAAATTAGATATATGTACATATTTTTTTCCTTCATTGAATGTAATTCCAAATTAATGGCAGTTTGAATAGAACCAGCACGTCCAGAAAGATCTCCAGATACAAGTATACCTTCGGTACCACTTGTAACTCCATGATATGCATCCAACCATGCTTGTATTCCTAATTGTTCATGTTCTGTTATTAGGAATACGATATCTTTTGCCCAATATTTCTGTCCTGTGATAACAAGAAAATCTTTTAATATATTACATTAATAAAAAGAATATATAAAATAAGTATAACTAAAAAATAAGTAAGTATAATTTTGATACAGAATTATATTATTTTTTTTTCACTTTCTTTCCACCTATTTCCTGTTAAAATTGTAAGTTAAAATTCTATTAAATTTGAAATACTTACTTCTACAAAATTTAGCAAATGCAAGAAGAAGAGCAACAGAAGGGGCAGTATCTAAGTAAATACTATTTATTGGTCTAAAAGGAACACTAATTACAATTGCTTCTGTACTGGCTGCTCTTGGAGCTCTCATAATTCCATATATATTTTGACCTGTAAACTGTAAGCTTATTAATTTTTATATGCTTATTAAATATTTTTAAATTCCTTATTTTATTAATATTGTTAAGCTTATATTTGGTACTTAGTTGAAAAGATATCAAGAAAACTTTTTAATAATTACACAAAATGTTTTTCTATTTACCTCTTGTTCTTGGAAGGGATATATTAATGTGAAATTATGTGTAAAGACATCTAAATGAAGCTGATTTAATGTAGCAAGTAACCAAGTATATGGCATATTATCAGGATACCGCTTCATTTCATGAAGTAAATGCACATAATATTGTTTTGCTATTTGTTCCAAGTTACTTTCTTTTGTAACTAATCCTGGCAATAAGGCATTTTCAGAAAAATAATTATTTATAATTTAAAAAATGATAC